GGTGGCGGCGAACAGGTGCTCACGCAGCTTGGCGATACCCCCAGGTCAGTGAATGGCGCTGTGCCCGGCTGCAAAGGGGGTTTGCCGGATGGCTGCTTGTGAGCATGGTCGCTTCATGGCTGTTATGTTGCGCTGCTGCGACAGCGCACACAGCCGTCGCCCATTAGGCTGTGCCCTGGCTCTTTGGGAGCCCGCTCGCAAGAGAGCAGCCGCCGGCAACCCCAAAACAATAAACCCTCCCCCCATAATAAAGCCCAAGCCATATTTTGTAGGTAAAAGGAAAATAAAAACCTGTCGTATTTTCAGGGAAACATGGTAGGATGCTGGCAGCAACCTGTATTAACCATTAGCACCAGTCAATGGTATTTGTGATGCATTTTTGAATGTTCAGTTGACTTGAGTTTCATATTTAATGAATAAAGTATATATAATATCATACAATAGCATGTCAAGCTGCAACTTTTATCATTGAGTATCAAAACTCTGCACATATAAACAGGGAGAAAAAATCCAAATACTTACTGATAATCTCTCTCTTAGAAATCTCATGTTTGGAACACGGTAGTTGACCTGAGATAGCATATTTTTTAAGTCTTTTGCAGAAATCCTAGATTAGCGGGAAAAGAAAAAAAGAATAAATGAATGAGAGCATATTTCTATATTTATGTATTGCCAATTTATAAAATTCGCAAAATTGCTTGAAAGATTGAAAGCACAATAAAACAAGCCAAGCATTATTATGGAAGGATAAAAGCATTTCCTCCACTTCACCCCTCAGATGCTGTACCTGTCAGCCTCCTGACAGTGTTCAGAATTGTTGTTAAGAGCAGCCAATGTTGACGCCTCTTGTAAGGCATGAACTCCTAACCTTGCCTATTATTCTCCCATAGATACTTGCTTTGTGGGATCACTATGGAAACTGGATTTTTTTATAAACTTTCTTCCAGTTTTCTGATGTTCCAATTGTCAGGTTTAAATTGATTATACTTACATTTTCCAAAATTCTATGATTTCGTCCTTAAAAATGGACATAAAAAACTTCAAGCTAATCAGTGAATGGAAAAATAATGGGACAAAACTATCAGCAATCCTTGGACAAACAGAATATATTATCTTGAAGTATTGCCAAAATTACAAATATTAGGGTAGTTATTAAAACCAGCAGTCTCAGATTGTATTACTTGAAAGGAAATAGTCACTATAATTATTCTGGTTCTTTTCCAAACAATTCAAATTATTTCAAAATAAGCATTTTTCCTTCTTTATTCTCAATAACTGTTGAAAATGAGATTTGCTCAAATTCATATATTACTTGAAAAATGAGTCTCCTTCAAATAACATAAATGTACTATACTGTATGGACCTTTAAAAAGCAATACAGAAAGGAAATTGTCTCATTTGAGCTGTAGTGCTTGATAGCTGGACACTATCAAAGCTTGACATCAGCCAGAGCATAGAAAAACAGTCCAAGATCAGAAGATGAAAAGAGATTTGGCCCATGGAGTTGCCAATAATTGATATTATTGTAAAGTGAACAAATCATCATTATCATCATCATCATTACCACTGTACTGTAATAAATTGTTTAACTTTTTCAAGAAAGGGTATGTTTTTGGATTTTAATTGTGCGAAAGATCTTCTGAAGTTCAATCTATGCTTAGCAATGAGAAAATCATTAACAATGGAGAGACTTCCCTGAAAAGCAGTTATCTTCCATGATTGATCTTCCCTTGCAGTTTGCAGCACTTAAAGAAGTACCCCTCATGTTTATTCATGAGGGGTCATCAAGCAGACCCAGGCAGTCATCCACAATATGAGACAAAACATCTCCAATCAGTCTAGAATCACTGCATTTTTGTGGCAGGAATACAATCTAACAGTGATTTAAAGTATTTCTTTAAAGATCTGTGGTTTGAAAACTGTTAGATTGAAATCATGCCTTGCTGACTCTACCCACTCTTATAAAAGCAATGTATAAGAGGCTCCTTGAAAATTAAATTGCACAATTGTTTGGCCGAGATTCGATAAAAGTAGTAGGCTTATCATTCCTACTCAATATACCACCACATCGCTTTTATGTTCTGATCAACCGATTCCCCAAATGTTATACTGGAATACAATAATCAAAACCATTCTTCTGAAAAACTGCAGGTTTCATATGTGCTCCCATAACCACAACCAAATATTGCAGTGACTGTGAAACAATGGAAACAGGGGTACATGACTTTTTCTGGCTTGAGGGTACCAGGAAGCTCCAGAATGTGATGCTATTCTGTATTGAACCACTTGCTTTTGCTGGGTTCTTTTCCACAGAGCACGTCTGCTGCTGAGTTCTTATAATATATTGCAATTTGTCAGTCAACCAATGACTTGTGAAATCCAAGTAAATCTATTGCAGATGATGAACTGTTGGCAAATAACTCATGTATTCCTGGCATCCAAGAAATGCTGGTCTCCTCCACCCAGGAACAGAGACTATAAAACTCTCTCCAGAGCAAAACAAGATAGCTGGAATTAATCCACTTAAGAAGGGGGAAACACCCCCCCCCCTTTCAGCTGAACTCCTGAGAAATGCATGTTGCAGACATATAACCTTACAGTCCAACGATTAGCTCAATCATTAGGTCAGGAAATGGAACTGGCTACAACCCATTTATGATTTCCAGATCTCAGTGGGTGAGAAAAAGTGTCTTCTCTGTTTTATACATATTTACACCACATACACACACACACACATACATACACACACAGAGAGAGGGGGGGGGGGGGAGGGGGAGGAAGAGAGAGGGGGGGAGGGAAAGTGCTTAGTATTTGATGATTCCAGTAAAAAAATGGAAATCCTTTCCATCATGCTCTGCCTGCTTTTTGGTCCTGCCCCATAAAATTTCTAGAGTGGGCAGTCCACAAAGCCATTTAAATGCCAACCATGGCCCCTCAGCCCACAAAGGCATTCTACCTCTGCAATATTTATTTTATTTCCTATATTATTTTTATAAACAATTCAAGCACTGAATATAATACTCCTTCTTCCCATCTCCCCCAAAACAATAACCCTGTGAGGTGAGTTGGGCTGAAAGAGAATGACTGGCTGAAGGTCACCCAGCTGGCACATGTCACTGAACCAGTTTTGATTTCCAACATTTCACAAATTAGCAATATTAGCAAAATATCTTTGGAAAGAGTTTATACAGGGTTGATTTTCTGGGGGGAAAAACAAGTGTTGTAGTTCCCTCTTCAGACACTGCTCCAACACAAATATGCCAAAAGTGACATGTTCAACATATAGGGAAAAATAAATGATAATACTTCATCTAATGATGAGGACATCACTCTTAAGATTGCCAACTCTCAGCTGCTGTGCTCGTATTGAAGAACAGCTCAGGACTAACTATTGCTCTCACCTTAATATTTGTAATACACATATTTGAAAGTCACAATCTTCAGTATTTCTTAAAAGATGCCTAGTGTGTAGGTTTAATATAGCAAGGAAGCTTTAGCAGCCCACTCTCAAATATGCATGAATTGTTAATCTGATTCCTGGGGCACAATTTCTCTCTTCCCTCTTTGGCTGGAAGCAAAGAGAGACTGACGCCAACAGGCAGCAGTAGAAAGCACTGCACTTAAGCAAAAACACATTGTCAAATTGAGCCATTCTAATCTGTTCTGAGGGATACTTTGAATTTTCATTGCCAAATGTGTTACACATTAATCTCATAGATTTTAACTGGACTTTATAGATTTTACTACAGCTGCCCTCTCAAGAAGTCTCTCAATAGTTTGATGACCTTGGACATGTACACTAGATACAGCTGTTCTAATGTCAAATAAATGTTTAAACGTTAGGATTTGTTTAGAAATGTTTCTCATCTTCACCAAGGCTGAAATACTATTGAACTGATATACATCAAAAGGCTTCAGTTATCTCAGAATTCTCAATGAATCCAATGCATTTTAACACATTGCAATTGTTAATTCATATGGTTAATTGACTATCAGGGACTTTCGGGAAAGAAATGGGGAGCTGAAGATAACCCTGCTGAATGTAGAGCAGATGATCATGGCAGAATTTGTTCCATGTTAAAAGAGGGGATAAATTACTAAAATTATCTATACTTGTTGAGATATAGGGGAAAATCATTTATTTATATATTTCTCTCTTTTTGGGTAAGATATACTTATTTTCTTCCTTTTTATTTTCTGCATTTTATTTGCATATTTAATTTACATTACTGTAGTTGTATTATTTTAACTGTAACTTTTAATAAAGTTAATATAATGAACGATAAGTTGCTTGTAATCTGTTTTATGGGTAAGTTGTATCTGCATAACTAACCTATTTTCCTCTTCCTTTCCACCCACTTCACCACAATTTAAGTTGTACATAATGAACTGCAGCCCACAAAAGCTTATGGCTTTTAATAAAATTTGTTAATCAGAAAAGGTGCTTCCAGGCTTCCAGATTTTCTTTGAGTGAGCATATTATGCTATTGAAAATAGTTGCAAAATGTAATAATTTTGTGAGACACAGTTTCAACTGTCATTTTGATTGACTGATGTGTTCATTCATTCAATTTCTATAGCTGTCCAATTTGATCAGGTAACTCTGAATGGCTTACAAGCCATAAGCTATGTTAAGTTTTCTTATTAAACATCTTACTTAGACAATGACATCCACTTTTGATGATGATACAGTGGCCCATATGAAGAAAAAGGTTGGAGACCATTAAGACATCTCAATGACCAGTGATGATTTTTTAGCTGAAACTTTCAACCAAAAAGCAGATACATTCACATAAAGAAGATAAGTGCCATTCAGAATTTAAAAGCCTATAATAAACTTTAGAGTTTATTAAACTCTAAATAAACTCTAAAAAAATTTTAGAGAGTGATGAGGTGGCTCAATGGCTAAGACACTCAGTTTGTCGATCAGAAAGGTCGGCAAATCAGAGGTTCGAATCCCTAGTGCCGTGTAATGGAGTGAACTCCTGTTACTTGTCCCAGCTTCTGCCAATTTAGCAGTTCGAAAGCACATAAAAATGCAAGTAGAAATATAGGGATCATTTCGGTGGGAAGATTAAGCGTTCCATGCGTTTTGGCATTTAGTCATTTCGGCCATATGACCACAGAGAAGTCTTTGGACAGCACTGGCTCTTCTGCTTTGAAATGGAGATGAGCACCGCCCCCTAGAGTTGGGAATGACTAGCACATATGTGAAAGGGGAACCTTTACTTTTTAATAAACTTTATTATTGTTAAATTGTTCATAATTTAATTGTTCTCTTTTTACAAAAAGAAGCCCATTAATGTTTTCTTGGAAAAGGGTCATTGTTAAAGCTTGCAAGTCAATTGCATCTTAGTCTTTTCTCTCTCAGACCGGGGACAGTGAGAACAAGAAAACTCACTGGAATCTTTTTAACAACACATAGAAATAAGAAAGAATGACAAAGGTTCATTAGCTACCAGGCTAGCTTAGTGTATCTGTTGAAAACTTCTCTGATCAAGCTTACAGCTCCATGTTCTATTAATGTTATGGACTGCCTCTGTTTTGGTTTTCAGACACCCTGCAAACAAGCTAAAGTCTCTTGTCAGGGCAGGAAATCATTAAAAATAAAAACCACAAAATAGAACAGGGTGAACAGAGCCCTCTAGGGCTGGAATGAGGTCCTAGATCCAGCCCCTCATTTTCTGGTGCTTTCAAATTTCTTGAATGCTCCTTGGCTACTCCAGCCACAGGTATCTAATTGCTTGGTTTCCCTTCAGGCTGGCCTTCACTTAAGGCCACCTTAAGCAACTTTCTCCATCTCAGAACCTTCTCAGTTTTAGCTATTTATCATACTATGAAACTTGGAAGGAAAGAGAATTGTAGCACTGACAGGTATACCACTGAAAGGCCTGAAGAGCTGACTGGGGATGTATCATCCTGGAAAAGCTGTCTAAGTACTTAGATTATGACCTAATGGCTCATAATCAAAAACCAGTTCCCAGCATATAATGCTCCAGGAATATGTTGCATTTCTCAGAATTCTCTCTTTTTAATTTTTATGAATCAATCTGTCAGATACACAGCCACATGTTCAACACTAGATTTTGGAGCAAAGAACACAAGGGAAATACTTATCAGATGCTGGATTACACTACTGCCATGTAAGCTTTTAAGCATTAATCTTGATGAATGTTCTCAGTGCTCCCCAATGTGATTTCTCATAGCTAAAGACCAATAATGATGGTGAATGACTGTTGTTTAGTCCAAAGGAATGAAAAAAGGTGAATGATTAAAGTTATTGCTAGCAATCTCCTAGTCTTTCCTGTGTTGCATTATGGGTTGCTGTATAGTAACTGAATGCACTTCCCTAGTGGAGATGGTACCCTAGAATTTTAATACTCTAATCCCTACATCATTTCATCACACCAAGTCTTTCTTTCGTTTTGTCCCTCTGTTAAAATAAAATAAATGATGTTTTCTTCTCATATCCCATCTCTTATCTATAAATAATTCCTTAAAAGCTTGTCAGCAGAAATCCATTAAGGGTTGGAAGAGATAACAACATATCCGTTTTAACCTCGATCAAATAGTCCAAGTTTAAGTTCCTTCCTTTTACTTTTTCAAGGATTGTCTAGTTATTATACAGTATATTCAGTCACTATGCATTTGGAGGTAAATCATGCAAACACAACAGAGGTTGTTATTCCGCATAATGGTTTTGCCAGACATCAAAAGAACCTGAAGGGAAATTCCGGCACTTAACCCTTTGTTTCTGAATCTCAGCCAGCAATTGTGCAATTATTAAAAATACTTTGTAGAAAAGTGCTACTGTCAAGTGGGGAGGCTCACATGAAATCTTCTCACACCCAAACAAGTTGTAAGAACACATATGAGAAACCACAATAAAGAGTTCACATTATACATTTTGAAATAATAATTTTTAAGGAGGGAGAGAAAGGCAATACAGAATAGCCCATCTCTATTCAGCATAATGGCAAAGCATATGTTCATATGGAGCTTTGAACTTCCTTAATAGATCTCCAGGTTGGAAATTGAGATTTGTTCTTATGAAAAAGACAATTTTGTTGTCTTTTTCATTGTGTGCAGATATTTTGTTTTATTATTGCTTCTAGTTAAAGGCATTTTAAAAATTCAATTTGAATTAATATATCAATATATTCATATATATCTCTTTCAAATTGCCTTCACTTTCTTGAAGAGCACGCGAGAAAAAGATCAGGTCTCCAACATTCACCTTTGCTGTCCAAACTCATTCATCCTAATATGTGGATGTCAGGAAGATAAACCCTCTTTGCATTAAATTAGAGAGTACCTCAGAGTTACAGTTAAATAAATTTAATTAATTATTAATTCAAATATTGGTCCCTTCTTCTATCAATTAACTTGCATACATTTATATGCACAGAAAAATATTATCAGAATGGGATTCTAAGTTTCCTATTATAATCAAAATGATTTTACTTGAAGCATTCTTGCATTTTTCAAAAACAATTATTGTTATCTGCAGGGTTTTTTTCCCCAAGCGCTTATATTTACTTACTTACACACACACACACACACACACACAAACACACATGAAAATGTTACTTCCCTATTAATTAAGAGACATATTTTACTTACCATATTTTTTGGTGTATAAGATACACTTCCCCCTTCCCATCCTCCCCCCCCCCAAAAAAAAGTGGATGGAAATGTCTGTGTGTCTTATATAGCGAATGCTGCTGAAGCTACACCCACCCATCAGTCCTCACCCTTCGGCCTCTGCCTCCCAGCAATTTGCCTCCTTGCAGCAAACAGTAAACAGCTTGCTCAGCTTCAGCACAGCCTGATTTAGCATGAGCAGTGGCCTATTGCATGAGCAGTGGCCTATTGCTGCCTCCCCGTGCCCTGTTTTCGGCCTCCATGTGCCCCATTTTTGGCCTCTGTTCACCCGATTTTCACCCCATTGCAGGCGGCAGGGATTGCTGCTGCCACCACTGCCTGGAATGGATCAAAAATGGGGCAGCAGAGGCCAAAAATGGGGTGCGTGGTGGTAATAGGCAGCAGTGGCAATGGGTGGCGGTGATCCTCACAGCCTGGAACAACTGCTAGGCGATATTCTGGGAGATCCAACTGCCAATCAGCTGCTCGTGTTAAATCAGGCTGTGCTGAAGTTGACCAGGCTGTTTGCTGCAAGGAGGCAAATTGCTGGGAGGCAGAGGCAGATTTTTTTCTTGTTTTCTTTCCAAAAGCTAGGTGCATCTTATAATCCCAAGAGTTTTATAGTCCGAAAAATACGGTAATTAAAGTGTTACTTTTCCTTGTTTAGAATAGACACTATTCCAACTTTGATTATACTTTTCTAATCATCCAAATTCATTTTTCGATTAATAAAAATTAAATAGAAAACTAATTTTTAGACTTGTATGCCCCCTTTTGTTACTAAAATACACCACATCTCATAATATACAACAATAACTTTCTATTTACCTATCCTCTCTGTTGCGGTCGACAAAGTAGAACTGTTTCCGAAGCCACCTAAAAGTAAATAGTTTTCAAATATTTGTAAATATGTCAGTGAATCACAAAATCTTCCTCTTTAAGAATCCCCCAAATCCTGCAGATTACATAAATTTGAACTGCTATGAAAGGAAGCATGGATTTTAATACACATAATCTTAAATTCCATATAATCTTAAATTCATATAGAAAGATGCTGGCAGTGAAGGAGAGGCAGTGAAGCCTATATATAGTATGCCCCTTGCTTGAAATGGTCCCTCTGTTCCAATTTTTTGTTTTACCTTTCAATTTGCAATGGAGTAGCAGCTTTTAGGGTATCTGCCACAAGCCAGTTCAACCCTTTGATCCACATGTTGACTTCATCTTCGGAAGTGGCTGTGAAAATAAAGAACAAACTGAGCCTGTCAAGACATGACACAGGCACTGACCCTTATATCCAAGAAGGAAGTCACTTTGCAGCTGGTTTCCAATAGACGGAAACTAACCCCATCCATTTTGATATTTACAAATTATAATAGCCATAAAACCAGTCTTTAAGGAGGAACAATCACATCATTTCAATGTTCAGCATTCAACTCATTATGCTCACTAAGTAAGGAAGAAACTTTTTTTAAATCTTTTGGGGCAAATCCCACATGGCAAAAAAGAAGGATCTCCAGGGAACTTCAGTAATCAAGTTAGATCTTTTTTTCATCCTTTTCAGGTCACAGATATGCATGCCAAAACTTACTTTAGCATAGCTTAATGTCATCAAACGGTGTCATGCTGTGCAAGGCTAACAATCATTTAAGATATGTCTATTAGCCAGTTCAAATAATTATCTTAGCATAATAAGGATGCAGATTGATTGCTCTTATTCAGAATATGGCATATAGTAACATGTTTGCTTAATTGCTTCATACCACATTCACTATTCTAGTTTGAGCACACCAGATTCTGCACAAATCCAGAATCATGCCCTATGATTCATGCCTTTTGAAGAATTACCATCAACAAAGAGAAGTGAGCAAAACATGATCAGTATTAAGCAATGGAATTTCTCTTTATCTTCCCATCAGTTTACCTTAGAAAGTACTTCATACGAGAAGTACACTCCCCCATTTCAAATTTTAGAAGTTATACAGGAACACACCTGTGTACTTTCTAGAATTTGGAGAGGGAAAAATGACATTTAAGACTACTTTTAGCTTTTGAAGCTGTAAGAGCCAACACTTGCAACACGGCTAGCCATAGAGTTAACCAAGAATGTCCATGTGCTCAAAGACTATGGCAATGGCTATCAGTTCTAGCAGCTGCTAGCAATTCTAGTCTCATTATTTGTTCCTCTTCACTATTCTAAGCCAAGTTTTGCACACAAACACAAAAGTAGATGAATAGCAGTGGTGTTGCTGGTGTTCAAAAAGCTGCAACAAAAATTGGATTGTAATCTCATGTCAGTGACAAAGTAAAAGTCATCTAACCTTGCAAACTGAGTGTTTTCAGTCTGAATTCCATGCCATAGAGGATGACAAAGCAGTGAGACTGTTCTGGGCGGAAACAAGAATCTTCTTGGTATCGGTCAAAATCTCTGGAGTTCTTTCCCTGACGAATTTCTTGGATTTCACGAATATCAACTGTTAAAATAATAATAGGAAATAAAATTAGAATAAAATTAAGAACAAATGTACTTTGCAGTTGAAAGCTTAATAAACACTGATAAATGTTATCTGACAATATCATGCAGTTACAAAATATGGTCTTCTATTTGCAATATTACGCTTACTGTTGCTTAACCTCTAAACCAACAGGTACTGGAACTTTTTCCTTGCTGGAGAGATCTCTGCCTGAATTACCTTTTCTCTTTGAAAGATATGTGTATTAGATGCTGCTTTCCAGTTAAAGCATTTCAAGCATTCCCAGATTCATATACATTAGAGTTCTAAGATCAACATTTAAGAAGTTTAATTAATTTAGGAACTTTGGGGTAGGAGTAAGGGCTTGCATGACACCCTTAACGGACTTTAAAGAAGCAGGATAGAAAGAGTATTAACTCTTTTGACCTTTGCTGTTGGAGAAAACTTCTGGGAATTCTGTCGATAGCCAAGTAAACAATCAAATATATTGTTCACCAAATCAACTTAGAACTTGTCATTCAAGGAGCAAATGACCACATACTTCATACACATTAAGCAAAGATCTAGATTTCTGGAGAAGGTTCTAATCTGGGAAAAGTAACAGGGAAGGGAAGAAGAGGATGGCTAAAAGCAAGGTGGATGAACTCGGCTACAGTGGTGATGGGTATACAATTGGAAGACCAAGTTAGGCATGGATCATGATCGAGAAAATCTATCTGACAACTAAGACTCAATCAAATGGCTTGACAGTACCTAATCAAGGAAGGATTTGCAAACATTTCTAAGATATATTTAGAATAGAACAGAATTCTTTATTGATCAAGTGTGATTGGACACACAAGGAATTTGTCTTTGGTGCATATGTTCTCAGTGTACACAAGAAGAATAAAATACATTCATTAATAATAAAAAAGATACAACACTTAGTGATAATCAAGGTTACTAATAAGCTATCAAATTGTACTAGGAAACAAATAAAACAATATAAATTGAAAGATACCAGCAACATGATTGTAGTCATAAGTGGGAAGAGATAGATACAAGGAAGGAAGAGAATAGTAATACATTCTTAGTAAATTATTGACTGTTGTGGGTATTAGTTGTTAAGCAGAGTGATGGCATTCGGGGAAAAACTGTCCTTGTGTCTAATTGTTCTGGTGTGCAGTGCCCTATAGCGTCGTTTTGAGGATAAAAGTTGAAACAATTTATCTCCAGGATATGAGGGGTCTGTAGATAATGTAATTTCTGACATAGCAAAGAATACAGATGTCATCACAGTAAATATCACTGTGTAAGAAAAAGCAGAATTATCCAGAAGAATGAGGTATAAACAACGTTGGCCAAACCAATTAAAATTACAGTGCTGATGCAATTCAACATATTTATTTATTTTTATTTATTTATTTATTATCAAAATTTATATGCCGCCCAATCCCGAAGGACTCCGGGCGGCTTACAAAAAAGAGAGAAAAAAGAGGAAAAAAAAGAAAAAAGAAAAAAAAAAGACAGTTTAAAATCACAACACTACATACATTCATTCTAATTGGGGCTGGGCCTCAACAATGAGGTCAACAGGCCCAGGCCTGTCGGAACAGCCAGGTTTTTACAGCTTTCCTGAAGGCCATGAGAGTGGGTATGGTCCAGATCTCTGGGGGTAGCTGATTCCAAAGAGTCGGAGCAGCCACAGAGAAGGCTCTCCTCCGGGGGCCCGCCAGCCGACACTGTCTGGCTGACAGCATCTGAATGAGGCCCAATCTGTGGGATCTTACTGGCCGCTGGGAGGTATGTAGCAGTAGGCGGTCTCGAAGGTACGCTGGCCCTAAGCCATGTAGGGCTTTAAAGGTAATAACCAATACCCTGAATTACTTGAAAGTATATTCATATACTCAAACTATTTAGTTTGCTGAGGGGTCTTATCTTGAATCTAAACTCTATCGTGAAATTCTTATCTGAATTATAATTCTCTCCAAGTAATTCTAACTCTAAACGGCACTATGAGCAATTAACATCAGGGGCTGAGAGGCAGTGACTGACCCAAAGTCGGCTTTCATGTTGTTTTGGAGAAAAGCAGAGCCTGCACTTGTAGGAAAATGCTAGGAAGAAAAAAATTGTACATGAACAGTCCGGGGACCACTAGAGGTCACTATGGGAAATCCCAAACTAATAGCAAAGAATATCCTCACTAGAAAAAAAAAAACCCGAAAGGAAACTGGAGCAGAAAGTTTTTAAAAAGTCCCCTAGGTACAAAACTACGGAGGGGGGGGGGGGGGACTAGTTTTATGAAAGTAACAGAGAACTGAAAGCTTGGTTTCTCTGTTTGCTATATGAACAAATGCAAGTTCAACAAAGAAATGCAAGTTAGCACTTTTGCTCGCAATGGATATTGTTGATTATATGTTTGCTGTTAAGACTAAATGAACATCTAAACATTTAAGTAATTGCAACTCACTCATATAGGCTATGCAATTCCTAGCCCAGAGACGAAGTCTTCCTTGGCCTCCTATCCCAAATTCCAGTATGAAGGCCCTTGTTTTATTGCAACTCCATGCATTTACATTCAACACAGTTAACAAGAAGATTAAATAAAATTAATTCTATTTACTTAAATCCAGCATGATAAAGCTTAATGATGAAAGTTGAGGAATGGTATGGAAAAAATGTGTAAGGCAGGAAAGAAAGAGGAACCAAAGCTGATGAAAGACACAACACAGTGTCCTTTCTGCTATGGAAAAAGCTAACCACCTTTTCCTTCCTAAAGAAGAATACAGCCCTTGAGTATGTCCCCCCATCAATAGATTCCCCATCTCCATCTCCTGGACTGTAATGAACCTTTACACCTTGGCTATTTCCTCTGGAATAATGTAGAAAACCAATCTTTTCTGGAAAATGAAACTCAAGAACTAAATTACAGGAAGTACTCAACTTACGACCGCAATTGAACCCAAGATTTCTGTTGTTAAGTGAGACATTTAAGTGAGTTTTGCCCCATTTTCTTGCCACAGTTAAGTGAATCACTGAAGTTAAGTTAGTAACATGGTTGTTAAGTGAACCTGTCTTTCCCATTGGCTTTGCTTGTAAGTGGGTTGCAAAAGGTGATCACGTGACCCTGGGATACTGCAACTGTAATAACTATGAGTCAATTGCCAAGTGTCTGAATTTTGACCACACTGGTTGTGGAGCTGCTGCAATGGTCGTAAGTCTGAAAAATGATGATCAGTCACTTTTTTCAGGACCATTGTAACTTCGAATGGTCACTAAATGAACTGTTGTAAATGGGGGTCTGCCTGTATTAAGAAGCAGCGTTTTTTTCTGTTCTAATCCAGACTGGGTGTTTTTTTTTAATCTCCTTGAGTTAACATTTTTCTTTTGCTTGTTTCCAATGACCATTCAAAAATGTTCAGTATGCAGAAACTCCCTGACCCCTGCTTTGTATCTTGCCTCCAAGGTTGAGTACAGATTAAGAATAACCTTACGGTTTGTTAGGTTTCAAGACTCCGTATTGTTTTCCCCTGATTATATACATCTTTTCATTGGAATTCACAATTTCAGGATCTATTTCTCACAATCCCATGGGCTCCATCTAACCAAGAGAAAATAATGAAGAAGCAATCTAATTTTCTTCTGGTGATTGAAAAGAAAATTCTCATTCCTTTCTCTCTTTTCCAGGTGAATAAATTATCTTGGAATTGTAGTCTTTCTTCATGAATACTGGCAGAATTATGTAGTGATGAAGGTCTTGGACTGGCACCAGGCAAACACAGGTTCAAGTCTATTCTGAGCCATAAAAGCTCATTGGGTGACTTTAGGCCAATCATTTTTTTCAAACCAACCGCTTAGTGTGGTTGTTGAGGGGAAAGGTAGGGGATGCCACTATATCTGTTTGGACGTTCCAAAGGAATCTGCAGGGAGTTATTGTAGATAAAATACATTCCAATATTTAGCTAGGTAGTTTTATTAGGGCACTCCAAGCCTGACCAGGCCAACCTGAGACATTTGACAGTTCAGGATATAAGAGCTGCGGTGGTGCAGTGGTTAGAGTGCAGTCCTGTAGGCTACTTCTGCTGACTGCCGGCTGCCTGTAGTTTGGTAGATCGAATCTCACCAGGCTCAAGGTTGACTCAGCCTTCTTTCCAAGGTGGGTAAAATGAGGACCTAGATTGTTGGGGCGGGGGCAATATGCTAATTCTGTAAACCACTTAGAGAGGGCTGTAAAGCACCATGAAGCGGTATATAAATCTAAGTGCTATTGCTATTGATATCTCTATAAGAAAACATTGGACTAGTTACATTGTAGAATTAAAGATAACAAATAAAGCCAGAAAACATTCAGTATATGACTCCTTACTGACCCACCAACAAAATTAAAGTAGAACTCCTGTCAAGAGACTGATCAGAAGTAAGTGAAGGGTAAATTCAGCCCTTGTTTTCCTTGTCAGATAACTGGTTGATGGTATTTCATGTATATTTTTAAGAGTTCTGCATACTTAGCTTCAAAGGATTCCCAAGTACTCTACAGAAGCCTTCGAACTAGGCTCCTCATGTATCTTTTGTTGAAATATTTCATTCTAGGACCTCAACATTTATAAATAAGAGTACACCAATACATTTAGTTTAATTTAGATTAGTGTTTTAAGTAACTTACAATTTTTGTTTAACACATCTTTTTAGCATATTATAGAGACTGTGAGCATAAATATAACTTCTTTTTCTAAAAGAGTGTACCATAGTATTTATTTTGTAGTTTAAAGTATGAGGGTTTTCTTTGGTTTCTTAAAAAAAACTTGAGCCAATCCAGATGTTCTCCTTCTTTTCATCAGTACACTTAACTAAGCTGTAGCACCTTATCAGCCCTGGCTAATCTTGAAAAGTTAAGCAGAGTTGATGTGGTTAATATGTGGATGATAAACCAACAGAAAACATCTTATATAAGACGACGCTAAACCACTTTCATATCATTACTAAGAAAACTGTATGCCCACGAAGTTACTAGCTTGATTTTAATTAAATGTTCCTTTTTTCACTTGTTTTTTCAGCTTCTGAATTCAGGAGCCACAATTGGGAATTCTAGAAATCACGCTCAACATATGTGGAGATTAACTAAGATTGAGAAACCAAATACAAGTAATTAAACTTGTTCCAAAATAATATTTCCAGTGGAGAAGCAATAGCAATAGCAATAGCAATAGCAATAGCAGTAGACTTATATACCGCTTCATAGGCCTTTCAGGCCTCTCTAAGCGGTTTACAGAGAGTCAGCATATTGCCCCCAACAATCTGGGTCCTCATTTTACCCACCTCGGAAGGATGGAAGGCTGAGTCAACCCTGAGCCGGTGAGATTTGAACCGCTGACCTGCTGATCTAGCAGTAGCCTGCAGTGCTGCATTTAACCACTGCGCCACCTTGGCTCAAGGTGAAGGTAATATGACCAAATAAAGTCGGACTATCTTGAAGGAAAGATGGACTAAGGAAGTAGGGAAGGATTCCTATCTGATAATAATGCTCCTTTTCCCCATCTGGTTCTCAAAGTAGCTTCTGCACACAGATGGGGCAGAAAATCAGACATTTCTCTGAACTGTGCATCTGCGGTAGACTAAACTGCATAGGGCTCTGCTTGCTGCCACATGTGTGGTTCAAACTTCCTCTCTACATTTCATAGCAGAAAGTGAGCATCTGTACTGTAAATAAAGTATTTTGGATTTCAGCTACAAAATCAGTTATGTCTCTCTTATTTACAAGATCTAATTACTGAGCTTCAAGTGCCTGGGAAATGGAAGACTGTTTATTCCTAAAACCACTATACTGGCTTTCTCCATCAAGAATGTCATCTCATAATATTTTTGTAAAGGGAACACCAATTGCTGTGAGTCTTCTTATATACCGGCAGTCATAATAAAAATGATAATTAGCATCAATACATAAGCACTACTGTCAACTTCCTTTTCTCTTCCTTCCAAACACCACTTACTTTAACTGAGATAAATCATACAAAAGAACATCAATGTGGGTGATCATATCCTTTTGCTTTAAATAACTGAATCAATCACAATCAAGCATGAAGTTAATGGCTAGTGCATCAGCAATTAGATTTAATTACTGGGTTTGCACACGACCTACATTGGGCTAAAATGAGGCTGGATAAGCTGTTATAGAAATCAAGCCATTATCTTAGTAAGTTTTATGAATCAATTAAACTGAAATATGTAAACTTAGCAAATATGTTTTGTTAAGAAGGGTTTAAGGTTTACCATGTTGCATTAATAAAATCAGTGTCCTAAAGTAGAATCAGTTATTTTTCTGGGTACAACGAAATTCCTCTCTTTCACTTTGCTTGGAGGACACAAGCAATAAGATCAGTTATACAACAGAGAATAAAAACCAATTCAGGTAAAGATTGTTTCTGTAACTTGGGCTCTTCTTGATCTATCCCGATTGACTCTTTCTCAAGATTCCTAAACTAGCAATAGCACTTAGACTTATATACCGCTTCATAGTGCTTTTACTGCCCACTCTAAGTAGTTTACAGAGTCAGCATATTGCCCCCAACAACCTGGGTCATCATTTTACCAACCTCAGAAAGAATGAAAGGCTGAATTAATCTTGAGCTGGTGAAAATTGAACTCCTGGAAGTCAGCAGAATTGGCCTGCAATACTGCATTCTAATCTCTGTGTCACCACGGCTCTTCCTGGCATTAGGTAAGAGGCTGGCCTACATAGTCCAACCTTTATAATTTATAATATGTTTCTATGAAATAATAATAACAATAATAATAATAATTATTATTATTATTAAATGCAGTTTGGCATGGAAAA